CCTTTATTGTGATACATCATTTGCCTTATTCATGTGGGTGTAATGTTATACCATATTACTTGTTTTATAAACTGAAATGTTTGGTTAATGAGATTTCTATATCTCATATTAGCACTCCATGTATCTGTCATGTGCTCGCGAACCAAAAAAGGGAAGTGCCGTCACAGGTAGGAAACTAGGGCCTCGGTGTGTGAAGCCTTTAGTCGGTTTCATGTAAAGTAGCATGCATATTTGCCAACATTAGGAGATTTATTGAGTCTAGAAGTATTAAGTTACATGCATGAGGTTTTGCAATAGGAACTCTTGTATTATCTGGTAGCTAACAATTTTATAGCATGACCGAAAGTGTTAAAGATGATATAGTTAGGACATATTCATTGGAGTAGTTTTGGTTAAGTTTATCAAGGAGTATGAGAGGGCAGGTACTTGTCATTTTATGTATATATAGCTTGCGAGCTTGCTTTGGTATTGAGTGTTTCAGGATCTTTATTTGATATCAAATTGAGTTGTAGCTGGTGCCAATAGTTATATTCATTAATTATCTACGTGTGAATGTTTAAATTATCTTAAATTGAGGTCTGAGCGTTTAATTATTTGCAGTAAAGATTAATCTTTGCATGCTGTCGTTGTCAAAATTTTTAGCATGAGCCAATTTGGGTTAAATCCGCTCATTTGCGGGCTCAAGAGAGTTCATCTCTCATTTTGTTTCTTATGAATAATACTTCCTGGTTTTAGCCCTATTTTCTATTTTAAAAAAAACTAAGTGGATCCAAGTTGGCTAAAAAGGGATATATGAAAATTAAACCATGTGGTAAAACAGTATATTGCACTAGCAAGACAAGGATGGGAGTAGAACATCTCCGTTTTCTTATTGTCCTTCAATATTAAATGAATATGTTTTAATCATAAATTTAATGAATGAATATAATTAGGGAGATGAAGGGAAAATGATGATGATAATTGAGAGAGAAAAAAATGGAGGTACTTCTCCCGAGTTATGTGGGAAAGAGTGGAATAGACTATGGAGGTGGGCAAACAAATGAATCTGGGCTTCCAATATTAGATGGTGGCCCGAAACTGGAAATTTTAAAAAACCCGGATGAAGGAGGAGGGCCCAATTGATGAAGGAAGGAGAATGGAATTATATTGCAACGGCCTTCCTATAAGTCTAATCAAAGAACTTCGCTGTTAAGAAGCCCATTAAATGAAAGCCACCTGATAAAGTGGAAAGACCTTCTCAATTTATTACCTCCTTGGTTCTTCATCACACTTTTGTTGACTTTGGAAAAGAGAGCTTGGTTTTATCGCCACCCCATTGTCATGTCAATCATCACATCACCACACAATCATGTTGCTGCTGCAGCTATGAAAACAAAACTGAGCATTAAATAGATTAAGGGACTGCTTCGCGGTTTAATAATCAACAGTATGAATAGGTTAAACCACGATCTGAATAATAGTCAAAGCAATTATAAATAAATTAATATATTTTAAATATTATATGTTTAAAATAAAAAAAATCATAGTAACTAAAATTAACATTTAAATTTCAACCAAAACAAAATATAATAAAAAATATAACATCCATAAATGTTACATCATTTTCAACCAACATATATACAATTATTTTATAATTTATAATTTATAACTTTTAAATACATGTATATATACATAATTTATACATATTTTTTTATTTTTATTTCATAATGCTTATTAGGTATATATATATAAATTATAATTTAAAAATATGAATTAAAAATAATAAATAAAAAAGTAATATGTCCAGTTCAACCATTTTTTGCCAATTTGATTGAGTCATAGCTAGTTTTCAAATTTTTCAATTTTTTATGGTAACTGGATTGGGCTTGAGACTGATTCTCAATTTAATTGGTTCAACCAGTTGGCTTGATCCAGTTTTAATAACACTAATTACTACTACATCATATATTAATTTTAAATATGCCTTGGTCAAAAAAGTAATATGTCCGATTCAATCATTTTTTGCCAATTTGACTAGGTTATGGCTGGTTTTCAAATTTTTTAATTTTTTATAGTGATCGGACTGGACTTGAAATTGGTTTCTAATTTAATTGGTTGAACCAATTGATTCGATTCAGTTTTAATAACACTAATTACTGCTACATCATATATTTATTTTAAATATGCCTTGATCAAATTCAAACTCACAACTTCACTCTCCTTCTATGGCGTCCTTTGTGTTCATCTTGTTTTTCCCCCCGGTAAGAATGTCTATCTTCTTGTTAGTTGCTGGTAGGAATTTTCAATCTTTAATTGGGAAATTAAATACATGATATTTAACCCTACACACACACATTAAAAATTATTAATTATTTTTATTTATTCATTTGACAATTTAATTTATATATAAATGTATAATTATAATACATATTTATATTATATTTTTTTAAAATCACTTTGTTAGGAAATTTAATATTAAATTAAACAAATATTTTATTATCTTTATAGTATATTTTAATTTATATTTATATAATATATAATTTATCATATTTTAAATTATCTATTATAGAATAATAATAATAAATTATAAAATAAATAATATGAAAACTTCTACCATATCATATTCCTCACTAAAAATGAAAAATTAGGAAGGCATTTAGGATGAACAATTTTGACATCTCTAAAATTTACATTTAGCATGGACAGTTAGCAAGGGATTTATTTCCTATAAAAGATTGATATGATATATTAGCAAGGGATTAGCAAGTGACAAAATGCTTCTCTAACATCAGTGAGGGAATAGCAAGGAAATTTTGTTCCACGCTAATAATAAGCATATTTATTTTTATCTGTTATCATATGTTACTTCTAAATTTATTTAATATAAAATAATTTATACAAAAATTAAGCTCATTTAAAAATTTACCAGCATTAATAACTTCAAAATTACTATTAATTAATCGACAATAAAAATATTTGAAATTCGAAAATTATAACTCATTAAAATATTATTAAATAAAAATTAATTTATAATATTTATAAACATATATTATAGGAAAATTTTAAATTAAATATAAATTATTTAATATTTAAACTAGAAATGTTTTCACTTTAAATTAATTTTAATAAAAAATAATATTTTTATGAAAATAAAAAAATGTAATAGAAATGACATATTGGTGATGGAACAGTGCCATTCCATTCCCATAAGAGTGTCCATTCCTTTGTCGGAATGATGATTCTATCACATAAGATAAGGGATGGAATGGCTATGATATTCTTACAAAAAAAAAAACAAATCTAAAATGTTTTCTTGCAATGTTTTTACCAAGATTTGCTTCTTTAAACTCTGAATTTCGATCTACACTCATAAAGTACATGATAATACTTGCATTTTAGAAAATTGAGAGTTTAATTAGACCTCTGACATACTTTTCTACGTGTACTAATTAAAAAGACATTATATTAATACTTTAATTTATGATAAAAACTAAAATATATATTTAAGTTTAATATCTCGAAAGAAAGAGGAACAGAAAAATGAAACTTAATTAGTTTTACCTTAGACTAGGTCTTGTTTTTAACTTTGCTATTCTAAAGGAGTTATATGTTGAACGGCAACTTTTTAATATTGGTGAAATAAAGAACATCATCTAATTTCCATTAAAACGATTTCCCTTAATTATTTGACGTTTCACATGAAGATGCATGCGGAATAATAAAGCAATATAATATATAGAATCAAAATTGTTGAAGAAATACATTACTCAGGAAAACAAAATGATGGCACTCGAGGCAATGGCCAATCAAGAATAAAAGAAATTATAAAGCACATGCATACATATATTTTTACTCAAGGCAGTGAAAGATTAAGCTTCAATGTTGGGCAACTGTGTCATTCATTATAAGTTAACAAAAACACAATTAAATGAGTAAATTTGGTTAAAACTTAAAAGATAAAAATTTTGAAATTAATTTCAGAAACTTCAACAACTACAGGGCAAAAGGGATCAAAAAAATATTATAAACCAAACAAATTGAAATAATTTTATTTGACGAAAGTACACTAATGGAGAATGGCGTGTTTAATTTTGTGGTCAATAATAACATATACTAGCTGCAATTATATATAACAGAAATGCAAATACGTGAATAAGAGATGAAAAAAGTCTTGGAAATATTTTTGGGACATCTCATCATATGCTATCCAACAATTGCATGTCTTCCAATTGACGGTCAACAAATCCAGGATGAAACCATTCCACAAATTTATCTTTAGATTTTTCTTCATCATGCTGCGGCCCACCCGTCATCTCATTCTTGTAAAGCAGATAAATGAGAAAAGCAAAGGTAAAGAAGAAAGACAATGAAATAAGAAGAGTGACAACCGCAAGAGCTATGGAAGGACCCAAGGTAGCATATGTGGCTGTTCCAAATGCAACTATCATGAAGATCATTCCCAACATTGTCAGCACCATGGCTGCCAGGAATGTACCTCTCTCAACGATAGCAACATCTATTTGTCCCTCCACAGCTGACAGGAAAATCTGGAGAAAGACCGCGCAAGCAGAGAGAACAAAGGAGAGAGAGTCTGTTATTACAAATGCCCTAAAAGCTGCATTGTGCATCAACCGTCTTGTATGGTACCCCCAGGCAACGTAAATCCTGCTGCAAATGTTACTGTTGCTATCAGTGTGGCCACCAGAAGCAAGGTTTCTCTCACTCTCCCTTCGATTTTTGAGTTATGATGCTCATCCTCTTGTTTTACCTTGTCTCGTTCCTTGTTCTCATGTTTCTGCTTCTCAATTACCTCTGAATCACGTCTCTTCTGTTGTTCCTTCATTTTACCTTCCTCATTTATAACTCTCCTACCAAACCTTGCTCCAATTTCATGTTGAAGTTTTCGCAAGAAAAAATTCCGCAGCATGTAATAGGTATTTGTCATTTTCATTTTGAAAAAGAGAACCACCTATTAACTATTTCATAAAATATTGTGCTTATAGATTTTTATTATAAATTAGCTAGATGTTGTCATTGCTCGTTACCTTGGTTTGCAAAGCTGAAGGCACAACATTGCAAGCAACTTCAAGAGCAGTTTGGTTGTTTTTATTGAATGCCATCGTGTTTACTCTTCGGTTTGGTTCCAGAAGAGGATGAGATTGATTATGCTTTTGCCATTTGGGAGCATAAAGAGCAAGGTGGTGAAGGGGCGTGTTTCCATCTTCATCTTTCTCATTGTACATGTTGCTTAGATGTTCCTCTTTCAAAATCTCTCTTGATGCTTTACTACTGCAATCTTGTTCATAGGTCCTATCTCTCTTAAACCCAGCAATAGCATAATGAAGAGCATTGCAACCCTTGTGATCCACCAATTCTGAACAATCTGGACAACATTCTATTATCTTTCTCATGACATTATCAAATCCATGATATGCAGCAAGGTGAAGAGCTGTCCTTCCCTTATTGTCTCTCATGTATGCTGTGGCACCATGTTTTAATAACACCCCTATCACTTCAGGATTTCCAAGTATTACTGCCAAGTAAAGTGGCCTCCAACCATTGTCATCTGCTTCATTCACTATTGATGGTATTTTGAACATCAACTTCTCCAGTATTTCAATAATACCATCAACACCTATTATCATCCTTCATTAGCTTATCTTTTTTAAATCAAATTAAATCTCTTTCAATTTCATGTCCACATACAAGCATAAAACATTCCATTTAAATTACTACATCCCCAATCACTGATATCAACATCATCACTTAACACACACACACACACACACACAACCCTAATAATCAAGATATATATATATATATATAGTTCAAATAAAAATTTAATTATTATAAATGATAAAAATGCTAAAAGCATACAATGAAATAATACCTTTTTTTTCAATCTTCTCATAATGAATGAGAGCTGCATATAATGCTGTCCTGCCATTGGGGCCACTATGATTTGGTGAAATGCTATTCTCTAATATTATATACATTATTTTCTCATAGACTCTCTCAGCAGCAATATAAAGTGGAGTCTCCCCATCACTATTAGCAAAATATGGGTGATGTGGGTCTTCCTTTGTCAAGAAATCCACTACTTCCATGTGATTGTAACGTACTGCTTCATGCAAAGCTGTGTCCTTCTCATCATTTGTAGCCCTTATCAGTGTTTCCTTGGATCCATCTTCACTAGTGATAACTTTAGCACGTTGAATAATTATTTTCACAATTCCAGTATGCCCATACCTAGCTGCTATATGGAGGATAGTTTCATCCTTAGCGTTGGTCTTATTCAAAAGTACATGAAACATATCTAGAATTTCATTCACAAATGCCTCTGATACCTCAGAACATGTTAAGTGAATATGAAGGATTGTGTTTTTATTTGGAGTTAGCATGGACTCAATTTGGTCAGATGACTTTCCTCTAAACACATCAATTTCACTAGCCACGACAGCTCTATGGAATTCAACTTTCATACCTGTGATGTGCATAGAAACAGGTTCCATTAAAGTGATCACTTGGGAGAATTCTGTCATGCTAAATATCAAGGAAAAAAACCAGAATTTAGAATATAAAAATAAGAAAAACTAGAACTTGGAAAGTTGAAGTTGAGCTCGTTCTAGCTTTGCGAAACCGATTGTCATAATCAACGTCTGAATTTTCAATTGCACCACCAGAACAGCCATACTTTGCATCTTACTATAGCACCCAAATTCTTGATAATATAATATAATGTAGTTTTCATATGTTTTTCTTGTATTAAAAACAAAGGTGGGGGCAAACAAGCGGACAGAGAGAAACAGTTCTTTTTTCCTCAGAATGTGTTTGCAAAAGTTAAACTACTTTTGTCAATTTTCTTGAAATCCCCAAGAAATGAGAATATTTTATCAGATAATTATTTTCAATATAATATTAAAAAATAGAAAAACTAGATTTTATAGAAGGTACCCCATAGTGTGCCTTATATTAAAAATCAAAAAAAATATTTCTAGAAGGTGCCCTATAATAGAAACAGGAGGAGTACGGGTTTAAAAAATATGGTCAATGAACGAAAATCAATGCACCTTTTCTCCTTATCTTTCCTTTTTCTACAAGGTCATACGAACACTCGTTGGAGTTATAACTATAATTTAAGTGACCCAATTGAGGGATGCTTGGTTCAACTAGTTGAGATAGTTGAATTAACTTGTCTTGAAATTTTCAATTCAAGTATTGAGATATGTAGTCATGTTAAATAAATATATTAAAAGCATCCTTAAGATACCTATGAAGCTGATATTAGTAATAATATTTCCACACAATGAGGGTTTGAATTAGTCTAAAAGGAAGGTGGCAATAGCTCCAAGTTTTTTAGGATACTGAGCAATTAAATCAAGGAAAAAAAATTAAGTCACCCATCATGACCCATAACCATCATTCCCTTAACTTTTGTCAATTCAATATAAAAATTAGATAATCAAATATAACTTAATTAGAATGAAGTTTTGCTTCTTTTCGCTATTTGAAACTGATTCTCACTCAGTCAAGTGCCAAACCAAAGCAGTCACAACTAGCTTTTGTAACTTATAAGGATATCACCAAAATTCATAATAACGTAGTTTTAATTTCATATTTTTTCCCTAAATAAAACAGGTTTAAATAAGAAGATACGAGAATATATATACAAGTACGACGGAGATTAAAATAAAAAATAAAGCATTCTTCTAAACACACACGCGCGCATGCATCGCAAGATTGGAAACTAACTAAAACTTTTAAAGAGGATTTGTAAGTAACAAATACCTTAAAAGCAGTCGTTTGCCAAGCACAGTGAGAGAACAACTCCTTGCTGCTACTTCCCTCTGTTATAGCGTGGTAGTTTCAGAGTGGATCTATATATATATATATATATATATATATATAATGCAAAACAAAATAAAAAGAATTGATTCTTTGCATATGTGAGAAGAAAAGTAAGGAATAAAGAGAGATAATAGAGTGAGAAGAAGAACATGAAATCAGAGCGGTGGATAATACTCCCTCCATCCCAAAATCAAATTTAGAATGAATAATACTCCCTTGATCTGTCCTAATTTAGAAGATACTTTTTGAAAGATTCATCAACATCCCAATATATAAAATACTTTGACAAAAATAATGTTTCATTAATAATATTTTTCTAGTAGTATCCTTCCCATATACTCTCTTGTTAATATTCTTTTACAAATAGAGTATTAAATGAAGAATATTTTTAAAAGTTTATATTTTTTGAAAAGGTAAGGTTATAAATTGTATTAATAAATTTTATTAGTATGTGTGATTTTGTTTAAAAGTGTGTTATAAATTAGGAAGGAGGTGAATTAACATAATTTATCCACAGAAAAGCTTAAAATCTCTAAAAATAATTTAAACTAAATAAACATAATGTATATGTTTAAGTAAAAAAAATTCTTATTTAAAATGACGAAAATAAATAAGAGGTATTTTACTGAGTTTAAAAATAAAATTAAATAATTTCGAAATTTATAAGCTGTTTGAGAAAATCAATAGAGACGAATGGAATAGTGACTCTTTGGAAGAAATTTCACTAAAATTGTAGTATTGAATAAAAATACAAAGAAAAGAAAAGAAAACTCCACTGGCAAGTCTCGAAGAATAAAGGTTTGTTTTGGACCACTTCGAAGAATAAAGTTGAAGATCAGTAAAGAGAGAAAACAATAAAGAATAAATCTATGGATATAACCATATTACCTCTTTCGTACGTGGACATCACATAATTAATTTCATAAAAAAATTATACTTTCACAGGTGGAACTTTATCCGATTTTTACAAAGTGATTATTTTTTTAAAAAATAAATATTTAAAGTTTATACAAGGAAAGCAATGGGCCGGTTTGTGAAGGAATTTGGAGATCGAGGGCTGACAATATCCTACATATAACTTATAATATACTCAATAATGAGTAAATTTGTTAAAAATTAAGAAATTTTAAAATTATTTTCAAGACAATTCAACAACTACTACTGGCCAACAAGGAGAAAAAAAAATTATAAACCAATAAGCAAATTGAATAGTTATACGCTAATAGAGAATGAAGTGTTTAAATGTTCTTGTCAATGATGACAAATACATGCATGCTGGAACTATAAATGAAGTGAAAATTATAAGAGAAAAATGCAAAGACATAAAAAGAGATGAAAACTTCCTTAATATGTTTTTGGGACCTCTCATTGCTGTCCAACAATTGTAAGTCTTCCCCACTAAGGAAAGAATCTTCAGGGTGGAATGGCAAATCTTCAAGTTAAGCTCAATAAGCCAGCGCCTCTCGTAAAACAAATAAAAGAGAAAAGTAAAGGTAAAGAAAAAAGACAATATAATAAGAAGAAAGACCACAATAAGAACTTTGGAAGGACTCAAGATTGCGTATGTGCCTGTTCCAAATGTTACTGTCGCTATCAATGTGGCCACGACAAGCAAGATTGTCTCACTCTATTAACGAACTTTGAGCCATCATCCTTCTCTTGTTCCTTTTCTTATCCACTACTGAAATCACATTTCTTGCGTTGATCCTTCTTTTTAACATTCTTATTTATGAGTCGCCCAGCAAACCTTGCTCCAATAATTTTGTAATGTTTTCGCAAGGAAAAATCCTGTAACATGTAATAGGTAAAATGAACCACCAAGTAATTATTTAATAATGAGTTTTATTTACTGATACATTGTATAATCAATGAGTTTGTATATATTATGTTGATTGATTTTTAGTAAGTAGCTACACGTCACTTCTTGTTAGTAGTTACCTCGTGAAGTGGAAGGCAGAACACACCATCAAGCATCAAAGAGTAGTTTGGTTGTTTTATTGAATGCCATCATGTCCACTCTCGAGCATCATAAAAAATGCCTTCAAGTAGCGATTACGAAGTATCAACTTATAATATAAATTGTTGGATACATATTGAAAATTAAAATATTTTGTAATTAAAAAATAATATTGCGATACTTTATCGATACACATAAAAAAAATATCAATATCTAATACTGACATGATATGTCAAATAATTTAAAAAATTATTCCTTCATAATTTGTTACCTCATCTTGTGAAGTTGAAGACACATTTTCATAAGCAACATTAAGAGCAATTTGGTTGTTTTTTTGTTGAATGCCATCGTGTCCACCCCTGGGTGACATAAAAAAAAATGCCTTGATGTATTGATTATGAAGTATCTGACTCACAATCTAAAGTATTGAATACATATAAACAATTAAAATTATTTTTAATTAAAAAAATAATATTTTGAAACTTTACATATATGTATTGTAAAAAAATATGGACGCTTATCCATATCATATACGGTACAAACACCAATAAGTCAAATAATTTAAAATATCGGTCCTTCATAGTTGTTACCCATCATCTTGTAAAGTTGAAGACACACATTATCATAAGCAATATCAAGTGTCATTTGATTGTTTTTATTCAATGCCATCGTGTCATCTCTTGGGTGGCACAAAAAAATGCCTTGATGTATTGACTCAAAATCTAAAGAATCAAATATGTATTGAAAATTAAAAATAATTTTTAATTAAAAATAATATTATTATACTTTACAAATACTTATCGGAAAAATATGGGCGCATATCAATACGATACTGACATGAATATGTCAAACAATTTAAAGTATTAGTCCTTCATAATCGTTACCTCGTCTTGTAAAGTTGAAGATACATATTATCATATGCAACATCAACAGCAGTTAGGTTGTCTTTATTTAATCCGATCATGTCCACTCTGGTTGTCTAGTTAAAATTGGATGTTCTTTATAAAATATCCATGTGGGACCATAATGGCCCAGAAGGTGAAGGGGCATAGGTTGCTAAGTTTGTTCCTCATATCTAGAATCATTTTTGTAGCTTCTGGATCTCTAAGAAATAATTGGAATCTAATTCTCTCATGACCCTAACATTCTCACAATATGCTGCAAAATGAAGAGTCGTCCTTCTCTTGTTATTTCTCATGTGTATGCTGTGTGTTTCTATCATGCCTTAGCAACATCTCCACTACTTCAACATTATGATATTCATATATATACAATACATAATAATGCTACCAAGTGAAGTGGCACCTAACCATTTTCAACTGCTTCTTTCACTGCTGACGGTATTTTCCACACCAACTTCTCCAATGTTTCTGCAATACCAATTCATCTACCTTCATTAACTTCTTTTTTAAATCAAATTAAAGATCTTTCATTACAATTGATAATTAAAAACATTCCTGCCACGCTTTAATCACATGACCACATCATTCCATTTAAATTATTTCAAAAAAAACTTTATATATACGTGTTGTTATTTTTTTAATTAAAAACCAAATTTTTCTATGCATCGTCCCAAATTATTGTTATTTACATTGTCAGTTAATATATACCTAATAACCAAGATATTTTTATATTTGCATCCCCAATTAGATATTTTTATTTTTATCGTGAAATAATTATATTGATTTAAATTTGATAAATTTGGAAGAAACTGGGGAGGGAGTGAAAAAATAACTT